AACAGCCAGATAACAGCTCAGCGTGTGCAAGCTGTGCAATTTGGACACTGTCTGCATACTGGCACACATTCCGTTAATTCATGATTATGTCGTGCATCTTTCACTTGAAACTGTAAATCATTTCTAGTTCATTCAGCATAGACGTTCCCCTTAAAAATGAGCGTTAACTCCACTCGTTCAGAGTCATCTTATGAGTTGTTGAAATATAAAACTAGCTGAGGCCAATCAGCTAAACCTGACAAAACATTTTCATTAAGCTTCAGATACTGAGTTGAACCAACTAGTCAAACAGATAGTTTAAAGGGGTTTCACTTCATTTAACTTTGACAACTTGCAGCCACAGCTCTTAAGGCCAAGCTTGACCAGAGTCAGTACAAAGACAATTCGTGAGGCTGCTCCTGGTTTCAGCGAGATAAATGACAAGTCTACAGGTGAATATGTTTGTCATTGTTTGACTTGTTTTAATTATTATGAAAAGAAAAGTACAACTTAATTTAAGAAAGACGCACAGCAAGTTTCCACCATGTCTGTTCTCGCAAACTTTAACAAACAAGAGTCTTCAGGGAGTTTAAACCCTCTAACAATGCAACAATGCAAGTCTGCTTATGTCCTACTTTTATTTCTTATAAACTTAGTTTATTGAGTTGAAAGAAGTCTCATTTATTTCTTCATTCAGTTTATTAATTTACATCAAAATGCCTGACATTATAAAAACCTAATATGTTCTGAAAAAAAAGAATCAACTAGAAATGAGCAAAACTCACAGATTTACATGACTTGAAAAGATAAGTTGATTTGACTGAATTCCTTTATGCTGTTTTACAGTGTAGGATTGTCTTGCAAAGTCCTCTTGCTCTCTTTGTCTATAATGTTTGTTGTGAAATGAAATGTATGACCCTCTGGAAACAGCAGAGCTTATGGCAGAATCTAAAGAAGTGTTTTCATTATGACTATTCATTTCATTCAAACATTTCACATCTATTTTAACTAAATTAATCTATTTCGTTTGGTGCAGGTGAATTGGCACAATGATCAGGAAACTCATCAGTTTGACTCAACCATTTTAATAACCAATTAGCAATTTATGATATTTTCCAAGCAAAATTGCCAAAAATTCAAAATTTATAACTTTTCATCTGTGATAATTTGCTCATTTTCTCTGTTTTATATCTTTATAAATTAAATATGTTTACATTTTAGACTGTTTTTAGACAGCAAGACATTTTACAGACTGAACATGTAACCCAGATGTTTTGTTTGGAGTCCTAGGCCTTTCTGAAAAAGTGAAAGAAAAAGAAATTCGACCTTTTTTAAACACCTTGGTATGTATAAAGATTTCTTGATTTGAGCTGAGGATGTGTTTTGGAAGTCTGCTGCAGACAATGATAGATCGCTTGGATCATTTACATCCAGATAGGTTGAACACAAGCCTAACCAAACCCAAACATTTTTTAGATCACCGTAAAAGATAGCATTGCGTATCTTCTCCTTTACTTTTAGAAAACAAAAATAACCTACTCTTATTCATATCTTAATTTAACACACTGAATATAACAGATAAAGCAATAAACATGTCAGTGCTGTCTGTGTTTTTTCACTACATTGTGAAAAAGAGAAGCAGCTCTATGTCAGTATGTTTCTATGTATTTAATATTCATGAGATCAGATTAAAGCAATTGATTAAAAAACAAATATTTATTAGAATATGGTTTTTACAATTATCATTATTATCCGCATTGAGTCTGTGGAATACCAAACACTGAGGTAGTAGAACCTCAAGGAAACACATTGATCATTTACTTGTAACCACTTTAAATGTTATCAGTCCACACAATAGATGTTAGATAAGCAGTTAAAGTAATTCAGAACAATTTCCATTTCTGGATGCATGAAGCAGGGTCATAGTAAACAATACAATAATGAGTGAATATACATCATGTTAAGATAAAACATATAGTTTTTCTTCTGGAAAAGTGTCAAAAATGATTTAAACATGCATTTTTATTTTCTTCAAATGAGTTGTATTGATAGCAACATGCATAGTAAATAAAGCCGAACAGAGAACAAAAGCATATCACAGCTTGGGTGTTTACTTGGATGTGGTAAAAAATAGAGAGTCGCTGGCTTAAATTCAAATAGAGACAAAGAGAAGACAGAGAGAGAGAGAGTCTAAGCTCATTAGCCTGAATAAGCAGATCCATATGGATGCATGCAGCAGCAGATACACAGTATGTTGTGTTGTTTTCAGTGAGTCAGTACACTGTTTGGAGGACGGCCCACTGCTTCAGCCACAGACACGGAGGGGAAGAAGGGAGAGGGGGGAAGACAGAGTAAGTGAACTGGGGAGAGAGGGAGAGAGATGTCAGCATGGCTCTCAGTAAATTTATTTTGTGACTCACAGGGTCTGCCTGGACCTCAGTGCTCTCCATGCTGTTGGGACTAGCAGCCCTTCACACCCACCCACGCACCCAATAACACACACTTGCGTATTGATTTAGCATCAGCAAGTCTGTGCACATGAACAGACATGCAGATGCATTAGCATACAAATCCAACTCCAGACACTCAAACAAGTGTATGATGCACGCTCATATGCACACAGCTAATGCTTACTCAGTCCAGATGAGCATTAAGAAATGTACTCAGAGGCTCAGACTCAGGTTTGGGCCAACCACTACTGTACCACGCCAAGAATAACCCCTTTGTGTGTTGCTCTGTACCCTGGCTCACCTTGCACAAGTATATGGTGCTAAGTTTCTGCTTACTATTCATGATGTGTGCATGTGTATGTGTGTGTGTGTGTGTGTGTGTGTGCATCTGTGGGTGTATAATAGGCTTAGGATGGGGTCTCTCCCAAAACCAAATGTCACAGGGATTTAGGCGTCAGGAGTGAGTTTCCTTGGAGAAGTTCACTAAAAGCACAAGATTAAACAAAGTCTCAACTTTCCAAAAAACATCCAGCCAGTTTCCATTTTTTCTCCCTGTGGCAACACATCCATGATGCAGATTTGAGCTTTAAAGATAAGCTGTAGGGCATGTGGCAAACCTGCAGAGGAGACAGACACAGGTGAAGAGGGAGAAGGAAAAATGGAGAAGGTGGATAAATGTAAAAGTACTGCTTGGTCACAGCAGAAACCTTTTTTTTTGCAGCAGCAGCAGCAATACTCAGCTTATGGCCTGCAGGCCTGATGGCTGGCCCACCAATCATTTATTAATTCACAATGAAAATAAATTGATTCACACTGAGATTTTTTTGATTGTTTATATAATAAATGTTCAATAATGCCCCTTGGCTGTTATTCAGTTAATTTGAAAATAAATAATTTCAAAGAAACATGAGGTGTGGGCTTTGTAATGATTCTTAGTTTTTTTCCTTTTATATAAAAGAAATATTATTGTGGCCTCCTGCCATTTTACACAAGTGGACCATGACAATTCAAGTGTCCCTGCAGTACAGCATCTATTCCATCGACCCGAATGAGAGTTCAGCCACCTGTATTCATGTCATTCACTCCAGCACATTTGGATCAGAAATTTTACTTCTTGTTTGTTCTGCACTCTCTGGCCCACCCTGTTGGTCAGACCGTGTCAGTGGACCCCAGTAGTGTTTGTGTTGCTGGGTTTGTGTTTATGAAATGCTGCTTGTGTTGTCTGGTTTGTTTACTCCTCCTGGTGGCCACTCTTTGTATCACAACACATGCTGACCTCTCCAAAGGCCTGCGGTCCGTTGCAGGACGAACTTTCAACTCCAGGAGATTTCCACTGAGCAGCAGTTAAAAGCACGTGTTGTCTAATGTAGTCTTGGCTTTCTGCTATGCTGCATAGAATTGCTTTGATAAATTCGATAATGATTATAGCGTATTTTTAATATAAAAGGGCATTTTTGATGTGAAGACGAAGACTTAAAAGTATGTATTTTTTTATATAGATCAAGAGTTCAAGACCACTGCTACTAAAGCTGCTATTCGCAAATAACCAGATAGCATACATCTTTTCAAATGGATACATTTCAGCTGAACAGAATTTTAACACAGACTTTTGGCGCAGCACAGTTTTGTTTTGTTTTGTTTTTTTTGTTTTTTTTTAGAACCATGAGTCTTTATATTACAGCTTTACCTGTGCAGTAAAGGATAGTAATTTGCTCAACTTTCTAAAAACAGTCAGCCTTCCCTCATTGTTAACAGTGGCTGCCTTTATTGGTTTTCCTTAATTACAGCAGTCAGGAGTAGAACATTTATGTGACAAGTAGTCTGCCAGAGGTCACGGTGAAAATTGAAGCAGCTTCATTTGATAGTGCTTGTTTTCCGCAAGTGTAACACTGCCGTTTCAGCTAATGCTTGTGTGTAATGTGTAGTCTTACTGGTTAATGTGCAGGGTGCGCAATATGAAATGCGACAAGAATGACAATTGCAGCAGCGTAGTCTCAAATAGTCCTACATCTTATCAAAATATATCTGTTGTTTGTTGCATGGCTGTCGTGTTAAGTGCATTACATTGTACTGAGTCCATCCATCCATTATCTATACAGATCGGGTCGTGGGGGGCTGGAGCCTATCCCAGCTGACTTAGGGTGAAGGCAGGAGACACCCTGGACAGGTCGCCAGTCTATCACAGGGCTACACTTAGAGACAGACAACCAAGCACACTCACATTCACACCTACGGACAATTTAGAATCACCAATTAACCTCAACATGTTTTTGGACTGTGTGGGAGGAAGCCGGAGAACCCGGAGAGAACCCACGCTGCACGGGGAGAACATGCAAACTCCACGCAGAAAGATTCCGGTGCCCCCACCGGGACGCGAACCGGCAACAGTGCTACCAACTGCGCCACCCTGCAGCCCTTATACAGAGTCTCATGTTATTATTTTAACTATGTTTGATGTACATATTTCACAGTTAGCTTGAGTTAAACATTTAATATTTCAAGATAACTGAAGACGTTTTGTCCTTTAAGCTCGTGTTAAGTTGACTGGAGAAGAAACGAAGACGCAGCAAATGACAGTGTAATAAGTATTTTATTGCATTTTATAATGCCATTGTCAATAATTAGTACAGATTACATGCAACTAGACCTACTGTACAGTTTTTTTATTGTCTGCATGGACAGACACAAGAAGATTCAGGTTACAAATACACAGATATATGTGTGTGTTTTTATACAGCATGAAGGAAAGGGCAGTGACTGGCATTACATGGCTACCCGGAGTGGAGGGTCAGAGGGCTGGGCTCCACTGTCTGTCTAAAGCCACCACCCAGTCCCTGTTCCCGCCTCTTCCTCGGGTCACACTTTCAAATAACAAGAAACATAACAAAAACCAAAGGATAAAGAGAGGTAAACAGGTAAACTGAACTAAGAAACAATACAGAGAGTCACTGCTGAAAATGTACACACATTCCTAAGGTTTAACCAGAGGAGAGCTGAAGTGGTAGTTCCATCGGATTCTGGCTGTCTACTTAATAATACCGTCAGGCAATGCTCCACTTTGAGAGTCCCTTCCCCCTCACGTGACACCTCAGAACTGTCCAATCACACATCAGGATTTGATCTCCCTGCGTCCTTTTGAGTCAGTCACCAGCCAATGGGATGTAGGTTGCTCCTACAACGCCGCTAACGTGGATGTATGAGAGATAACAGCTATCAGTAAAGGTGATCAGTGAAGTCGATGGAGAAGTTTTGGAAGTAGCTTGTTTTTTGTTTGGTTAAGGTTGTGGCATTGGTTTGGTTACAGTTTGGTTACAGTTCAGGAATTTGGACGAAGCAATGTTTGCTCGCAATGCCTTTGGTAGTCAGAGGATGAGCTGCATCTCTGAGAGCCATTCCACATTTTGGTATTGAGACTACGCAAGAGGAGGAGTATCAAAAATGCAACAGTTTCAGTCTTTGATCTGCCTCTGTGGGACTGGGAGATGAGGTTTGTGGCTGGTCACCACCTGCCAGGTGTTTGACTCAGTGACACCCCCATGGCACCTGCAGATGATTGACAGCTCTGCGGGTCGGAGTTCAGCACAGGAATGACAGGGGTCAGGGGTCAGAGGGAGGGGTCACAGGGAGCAGGGACACATATTGGCACCTGAAAGGACCAACAGCAATACCTTTCTAGAGCTCCGCATTTTTTAAAGCAAGAGAGGGGCTACATATTCTTACATTGTTTTTTTTTGTTTTGTTTTTTTTTTCCTCTTTCTCTTTTTCTTTTCAGAGGTTTTGGTCCTGTCTTTGAGAAAAAGTCCTTCTGAGGTATCAATACATAATGAAGTAACTTTTTAGTTTGTTTTCCATTTGTTGTTTTTTTTTTCTTTCCTTAAAAATGCATAAATGCAGTACAGAGACAAAAAAGTATCAAAATAGACCTAGCTAAGATAAATATACAAACAGGTGTTACCTAAACCACTGATCTAACTTTAATTCTTTTCTTTTTTTTTTTTTTTAGAGATAATACACTTAAAAAATCAGCGTCCCAGACGTTTTATGAAGAACTGAAAAAAAAAGGAAACAAACAAACAAACAAAAAAAAAAACTATTAAACCAAGATACCTGCAGCACTTAATATGATAAATACATATACTTCAGCATTAGCAGTACAGTATAGGAATCAGAGCTGAAAGCTTTACAATAGCTAAACAGGTGCAGAAAAATAAGAAACCCCAAAAAGAGAAGGAAAAAAAATCAAATGGGAAAGAATGCCCTGGAGAGATAAGCCAAGCATTAATATACAAGAATACATCATGTTATGCCAAGCTGGAGAAAGAACAGAAGTGTTACATGGTGACCTGTGAACAATCTACATCTTTATAAAACAGCTTTGTTTACAGGTGTACCTTAAAGCACAAGTCAGAGCTCATCTATGTACTGTATGCAGCAGTTCCTCTTGGTTTGGATATTACTAGTAGTAGTGATGAGTTTCATTAAGTGTGTTAGTCCTCTCAACGTCTCTGTGAGTGTTTTGGTGAAGGGAGGAGGGGGGAGGAGGGGAGGGGGGGGTGCTGCTGTGTTGTGGGTCTTTGGATATCTGGATGGTCAGAGCCACAGTTTGCACTAACCCATAGCCCTGCTTCTATGCTTCTGTTACACCCCCTGCATGTGTGCGTCAGTGTGCGCGGTGTGGCACCGATACAGTCGACCCCGTCACGACCTCCGACACACCAGCTCGCCGCGACAACACACAGCCGCTAATGAGCAGCTTCCCATTGGCTGAGAGCTGAGCCTGATCATGAATATGCACACATACAGTCAAAGCACACGGTTGAGAGGCTGTTCACACAGCTCAATGCTAATCGGGTGCAGGAGTATGGTCAGTTTTACGCAGCTGATAGAAAACTGTTCATATATAGTGAGCACTTCACAACACATTTGGAGACGCAGAGAGTGCTTTAGATGTGGTTTAAGGAGAGGTAGTCATTTTTAATTCTATGGTGAAAGTGAAACGTCTCTATGTTTTTGGGCTCAAGCAGATGTGTGTTAGGGAGTCCGGATCACCAAATAGCTATTTTTGTGTGTGTGTAAGTGTGTGTGTGTGTGTCAGTCATACAGTAAGTGTAACAACAATTTTGGCATTCATTATTATCATTGAGGAAGAATGGAGAAAAAAAATATTTCAGAGAGTTCAGTCTCCCATTGGCTATGTGTTGAACTGTTTTGAAAAGGAGGTAGCGTTATTTTTGGTTTTCATCTCGTTTCAAAATGTCTGTCTGCCACTTTGTACTTTGTAAGAAATCAGTCTCTAATGTGACAGGAAACAGTCCTGTTTGAACACAAAGTCATCGGAAAGGTTCTTTCATTAAATAAGAAAAACCGTCTGAAGTGCAAGAGATAGTTTGACAAAAAGTATGAAAATATGAACCCAACTTTAAATTACATGATGTCCCTTGGTTGTTTTCCTCTTACATTGGTATACTATCATTGTGTTTAGCTTTTCCCTCTTTTTTGTATTATTAATATTTGGAATAACTCCTCCCTGTCCAAAGATGGCACTTCTTTTCTATGCACATTACAATACACTTCCTCGTCCTGTGAAGGCTACATACAGATCGAGAGGGATTTTTTTTGTGTTTAAAGAGCTTTTTTTTTTTTCTAGATTTAAAAATCCAAATGTTTATTACAACAGTATCCAAAAAAAGTACCTTGTAACGCCATGTGTTTTGAAATGTTTTCATTTCAGCTCTCTTTTTGTTGGCGCCTCAGTTTGTAAAGATACATAAATGTTGTGTTCAAATGCTTCATGAGTGCCTCGTTTATAGGCCTGCTCATTCTGTAGATGGGCCAGTCCTACGATTGTGTTTGGAACACAGTTGAACAGTTGAGCCTGAGTGTGGGAGAGACAGGGTTTCACTTCTAAGTGCTTTTTTTTTTTTTCCTTTTCTCTTTCTTTTGTTTTTTCAGAGGAACTGTGCGAGGTTTGTTAATACTAGCTTTTGGCCTCATACCTAATATGAGTCATTTGTAACCGTCTCCAAATTCTAGTTTGCTTTTACACACTTTGGTTTTTGGAATGGTCAGCACTGTAAGTCATGTATAATTTTAACACAATAATTATATGAATACAATAATAAGAATTCAAACTCCTGGTTTGTTGTCTTTTGGCCAGTTCTTTAAGAAAGAAAAAAAAAAAAGGAAACATAAAGGGCAAAATAAACTACAGGGTTTTTGGTTTTCTACATATTTCTTTGGTTACCTGTAACAAAAATAAAACGGGAATAAGCAGAAAATAGATTAAAATAAATGTTAAATTTGGTATGGCACTGGAGAGAAAAGTAATGCTTTTATGCTCATGGAAAACAAGGAAATAAATCTCACGTGCTATTCCTTTAACACAAACTCACACAGTGAATTGCAGATAGCTTCTACACAGTAACTATTACAACCATAGAGCTTTGAGTCGAAGCTGAGCAGAGTTGCCACATTTGGTGTCCCACAGAAAGAATTCCCCTTTATTTCTCTATCAATTTGGACACAGTTCCAGGTAGAACCTTTGTGGGATGAGGTATTCTCTGACTGCAGTAATAATATATATATTTTTTTAAAGCATTACGGATATTTCTCAACTAAATACACAACCAAAAACAAGTGAATGAGAGAGAATTAAAAGAAAAAAAAAAGATTTAGCTGTTAAATAATCTGTCTGGATAATGGCAACTTTAAGTGCTATTTCCAAATTTCTTGCCTGCTACACTTGGGACAGAAAGGGAGAGGGGCAGGAGTAGGGTTCGGGTAAGTTGGGACAATACTGCGCTTTTTGTTATTATTACCTTTTTTTTTTTCTTTTTTTTTTGCCAATACTCATTTGGAATGGTGTGAACAACCAGAGTAAATCAAACAACTTACAATACAAAAAACAAAAACAGCATCCTTAGAAAAGGTACGTCAAAACAGAACGCCACCTTGGAAATATTGATCCTCAAATAATAAACAATGATAATAACATCAAATAAAATAAAAAAAAAGGAAATGACAAAAGCTACCACACATTTTTTTCTTGTTATATTCCATAATCATCGACAGTTTTCTTTTTTTTTTTTTTAGTCACAATATTTCTGTAGACGCTTCCTCCATCATTTCTCACTGCTTCCCCTCTTTTTCTTCTTTTTCCTCAAAAGTGTTCCATGCTCATCACTCCATCTGCAGACGGAGGAGAGAAGAAGGACAGCACCAAATGGTCCTATTCCTGCAGTCTTCTGGGGGGGGAATGGGAGGGGATGTAGGTAAGGTGGGAAATGTCTTCTTTTTTTTTTCCACTTAGAAGCACAGAGTTTAAAAGATGCCTCTCACTCAAGTGTCTTGCTGCTGGCAGAAGTTTGGGCAGGGACCGGGGCCGCATCGCCTCAGCTGGGTCGACAGGAGCCCGCTCTGCGGAGGAGCTGGAGTACTGTTGGAGGTAATCTTTGAAAGCACTCGTCCTTCCTCCTCATCTCGAAGCCCAACAGTTTCATTTTAATCAAACCAAAGAAAATGAAAAAGCAAGTGATTGACTCAAAGACGGGGAAGAAGGAGAGGTATACTACACAGCCCCTGGTGACTGCTCCAGATCTATATACACATGATCCTGTGTGTGTGTGTGTGTGTCGCGTTCTTTCTAACACACACACACGCGTCTTCTCGACTGACGTTGAGATAAAACGGCTCACCAGGCAGACCGAGACGACAGAGAGGAGGGCGTACGTTGGGTTGGTGGGAGAATGTGTGTGTCCACGCCTCTAGGGGTCTCTACACAGAGGGTGACTTTTCCAGGGAGGATGACGAGACATTGGTTTGACAAGTGAATGAGTGTTTGTGTGGTGTGCGTGTTTGTGTGAGTGTGTATGCATTAAGTGGTGTTACACCTCTGAGCCAAGTGTTGGTGAAAGCAACACATGGAGGTAAAGCAGTGCTCCACAGTCTTGTTTTTGCGTCTGAAAGTAACAAAGGTCATCTAACCCTGTTTGGAGTTTCTTAATGTCGTCCTTAGTTGCTTGAATTTCCTTAAAAACAAAAAACAAAAACAACAAAAAAACATTCTCTTTTTTCTCTTAAGTGTACTGTTGCTATCTTTTCCTCTTCACACCGGCGAGAGGGCTTCGGGGGGATTGATCTCAAAAAAAGTCCCGTCCCTCTGGTCTTGCTCGGATCTGTCCTACTCCAGCTCCTCTGTGGGAAGATCCTCCTCCAGGTCGCGCTCGTCGCTCGGCAATGGCAGGCTGTGTGTGACACCAGCCAGGAGGGATACTGGCCGACTGTCTTCCTCCACCTCAGTGGGCTCCTCCTTCACATGCACCGGGTGGCTGCAGGAGAGAGCAGAGAACTGGGAGTGAGATGGGTTTTCAAGGCAGAGTGTTCGTGTGCATATATGTCTTGACTGAAGCCAGATTAGTGCTTCTAAAGTTTAGTTCACCTGAAATGATCTTGTACTGTATTTCAGTCAACGTGGGTTCATTCTGTTAGGTTTTGTGTGTATTTCGACTGACTTTATTTCTATCGCTTCTATTCTTTAGAATTTTTTTGTGCAGTTGTAGCACCCAAAGGATAAAACTTGTGCTTTAAATCTAACAATAACATCTGCTTCCAGAAATCATGGAATGGTTCAGAGTGTGTGAGTGATATTAGAATACTAAAGATGCAAAACTTGCACGCATAATAGAAAATTCATGTATTTTTTCTTTTTTTTTTTTTACAATTTTCAGCTGATCAACGTATGCACAACATAATTTAAACACTCCAGTTGAACCTGAGCTGATATTCTTAAAATTCAGTGTAATATGTAAATGTAAATATGTGCAGTGTGTGGGAATAACGTCAAAGCAGTTTTGTTTCGTCTACTTGCGCCTTCATACATGTGTGCATGCGTATTTGTGTACCTGTACTGTTGAGGGCTGAGTGTGGGGCTGCAGCTGCCATTGCTGTTGACCTGCTCCACGGTGGAGCTGACATCATCATGGCCCACGTGCAGCATGTTGAGGCTGGCAGCAGACGGAGGGGTCACCAAGGGAGGGCTGTTCAGCAGGGACAGACTGCTTTCTGCCAGAGCCGCCTACGTACAAACATGAGTTCGAGGGTCAATTTAAATGGGAAAAGTTTTTTCAATATGAAATTTGAGAAGCCATGTGAAAATGACAAAGCCAGAAAGATGTGATGAAGCTCTTCAATCTGTACAATCAGACATTTAACTCCACTTAACTTGGATTTATTTAAGCGTTAATGCAATCAAAATCTATCTGTAGGCCGAACTGGGATGGAGCTGTACTTAAAACACAATTTGCATAAATGGTAAAAGCAACAAGGGACGACAGAGAGTTTTACTTTATGTACAAATGAGAGCGTTTCTATCCACTCGTGTGCCAGTGAACATGACAAACCACTAGGGGGCACTTATATACAGTACTTTCCCTGCAAAGGGCTGTGCGTGTACGGTTAAGTCCATGTCATGAGTGAAAGTGTGTGTTGACACCAAAGTCTCGACAGGAATGTTAAGAGCAACTGAGCCCCAACCTCAGATTAAACACAAACATGGTGCAGCATCACTGTCTTCAGAACTGGGAAACAGCCGAACCAACGGGAGCAGCTTCCGTCACAAACATCCAGATGTTTGATGAGAAAGGTTGGACACTGACTGAGAGACTCACCCCACCTCCCCTCTCACACAGGAAAAAAAAAAAAAAAAAAAAAAAAGACAAGGAATTCTCACTGGCTCAGAGGTGGATTTTCTGGGACAGGCGATAATTTTATGCAGTAACCTTAATTGACAACTACTTGATGCTATAAATCATCTCAGTCGCACAATTGCATGTGTGTGTGTGTGTGTGTGGGTACGGTGGGTATGTCTGCACTGAAGTGAGGAGATGGGTCTTGGTGTGTGTTTGTGTGTGTGGTGGTGGTGGTGGGGGTGGCGCATGTGTGAGGAAGTGAGGTGGGAGGTGAGAGTGTGCTGATGTGGGAGGAGGAGGAGGGAGGTGGTGTGAGCGTCGTTAGGGAATCGGCTAATTATAAGAGGGAATTGATATTAGTGTCCTTGATTATTACTGGCTGCTATATGTGTGTGTGTGTGTGTGGGAGAGAAAAAGAGAGAGAGAAGGGGGGAGAGAAAAGAGGGGAAGGAGAGGGCATGCCTTACCTGGTAGCTGGCGTTTAGGGATCCAAAGCCCAGGCCTGAAATCATGTTTTTCACCAGAGTGGGACTTCTACACATATGCAGAAAGAGAGACGTTAGAGAGAGCCACAGATTGCGCACACGTGTGAAAAGATGTCACCTCACTAAAAGCCCGATGACAAATCTGACAAATGTGTTTGTTCCCGACCACAGACTGTAAACAGATGCTAAAACACACATATGAAAGCGTCTGATATCTGGCGTGCAGGTGTGTGCACGCAATTATCCCAGGGTTCTCTGGTGGTTGGAAAGAACATCTGTTTACATATGCTAACAAGGTTTTTTTCCCTGTCTTGCATCTCACACAGCTGCTTACTAATGGTGTCGACAAACAGGGAAAAACACACACACGCACTCGCACATACAGTACATACATTACGAGCCAGCAGCCTCCCTGCCTTTTGTTTTTACTTGATTCCTGAGTTGGCTGCTTGGTAATAATAAAGGCTCCATTTGGGCAATCATTGTGCCAGCACCCATAAGCTCACGCTCACATCAGCCGCAATCGGGGAAAACAAACGAGCGTATGTACGCGTGCGCTTACCCGGTCATCTTTGGTGGTCTCCTCTTTTGGTATTCAACTTCATCCACAGTCCACACGGCCCCCTTCACGTTCTCAACACGAACAAAACACTTGTGCAGACTCAGGTTGTGGCGCACAGCATTCTGGCAAAAGGAAGACAGGAAGGGAAAGGGATTGTTGTGATATAATTCATTGTTTGATATTTGATTTATTTCATCTTAGGTATTTTACTTAAAAATTAGGTTGCCGTCTTCCTGTTCCTTGAGCTTATAAATGTTCAAAATGTGCGAACAGCATGTAGAGGAAGCAATCAGCTGAAAACCAGCATCTAACAGCAACGACTGAATGAAATCATTGTAAAACACCTTCTGAACTTTTCCTGTGAGGTGATAAATGCAGTAAGTATTTGTACTGGTTTTGTAGTACCAATCTTTCCTGATGCCTGCTGCTATTTTCAGAAAATCTCTAACTTTGTTCAGAAAGATATTCCAGTGGGAAGTGTGTCCTTAAAGAGTATCTTTAACGCGAGGAAAAATGATCATTTTTCACCTGAGGTTCTTATCCAGTCAGCGGTAAGCACATTTCAGTTCAGCACTGAAGAAGCAATGCTTTCTATTACAAGTTTATCCATAATGTGACCTGAGGACAGTAGTCCTTTTTTTAAAAAAAAACCCTAACTTAACTTTTTTTTTTTTTTACCCATCACTTTACACGTTACTGTAGCTGCCTGTACAGCAGTAATACAAGGCAGCAGTTCTCTAGTAGCGTTATTTTATCTCAGAATGTTTCTAATCAGTCATCATCAGCACACACACAGAAACACACACATCCACAGGCACTCAGACAGCCAAGCAAGCAGGCACACCGCTATCTTCGTCTCAACCCCCCAGGGACAGGCCTCCCTTTTCATCTGCTATTTGTAGTTTGTTCATGCCCAATTTCATTACCAATTTTAATTCGTCTATAATTAAATCCTGCATATTCTCTCTGACACGCTGTTCTAAGCCGAGAGGGAGGGACAGGCCAGGCATGCATCACTCCTTGCCATAATTACACACGCAGATACACACACGCACACACATACAAACACACACACGTAATTACACAAGCCATAATCAGCGGAGGAACCCTTTTCTCCCCCGCATCCCCTCAACCCCCGAGCCGTGATGCTAAGTTTTGTAAATGAGTCTGACCCCAATCTCCGCCCGCCACCCTGACAGTGCAAACACACACACATGCACACAGACACACGCGCCAGACACCGGTGCTATTGCAGCGCTATTTGCATTCGTCTCCGTGATGAAAGCCTAATTCTCCCAGTTAAAACATTAGCAGTCATTTACAGTGGGTCACAGCACATGTGCCACTCATCTCCCCTCCCTCTGGCTGATGTGGGGGGGACGACTGGAGGCAGAGATTTGGGAGGAAAGATTGAATTGTGTACAGCAGAAAAGAAAAAACAACAACAACAGATTTCCTTCAGTTTCACTGATAGTTTTGGAAGTGTTATTGTCTTTATATTGTAAAGGTTTGAACGTTTTGATTGGTCCAGTTGAGCTTTTGCCTTCTGCCTAATGCATCATGGGATAGGCTATTTTGATAGAATTCCAAACAGAAATATATGCAAGCAATTCAAATCATAAGGTAAGAGAATGAATAAGAAAAGAACAAAACAGGACATTTGTGTAAATAAAGAAGAAATGGAAAAAAAAAAAGAAGTATTCAGATCCTTTGCCTAAATACCAGTAGCTATACCACACTGTGAAAATGATATGTATTCTAACAGTCTTGCATTGAAAACATTTGTTGTGAAAGTAGTCAATTGTTATTAGAAAAATGCACTTAAATGACTAAAGGCAAAAGCAATTACAAGGTAGAAACACTGTCCCCTGAGTGTTACACTGTTTTGTATCATATTGGATTATTATTACTGATGTTTTAGTGTCTAAGTAGAATTTTACTGTTGTAGTTGATTAGAGCAAATTTATTAGAATAAATCATCATATGTATTGTATTTGAAAATCTTAATCTGCAATTTAACTAGTTACTAAGACTGTTAAGTCACTTCAGCGGAGTAAATACACTGTAATATTTTCCTTTAAACTGTAGTGGAATGTAAGTTTAAAAAAAGCAACGGAATGGAAATACTCCCATTAAGTGGTACCTCAGTAGGGCCTGAAGTACGTCAAATTTGCACTTAAGTGCACGACTTGTGTAAATGTACCTTCTTGCATTCCACAACTGGAAATCACGGTAAAGCAGCTCATAAAGTGTTAACTGCATTTCTTTTATCCTGTTTTTATGCATAGGATCAATTACCTTCCAAAAAAGCGAATGGTACTAGGTGAGTCAAGGTGAAAAAATAAACTCCACCTCATCATGTAGCGCCTTGAAATAACACTTAACACTCATTTCTTCCCATCTCTCAATCACCTCTTTCTTCTTCTCTCTCTCACTCGTCTCTTCTTCATTCTCTACCCCTCTGTTTCTCTGATCAATGACTTCCACTCCCTGACACCGCTGCTCTCCTCATGAAATATAACGGCTTATTAAAGGACATACATCTCTGCGGCCCTATTTGACTCGCTGAGCTGCTATATAAATACATAAGGCCATGCCGAGCTATATTTAAAGGTCTGCTAGGCCAACGGCACAGGAAGCAGACACCCGGCATTAATAGTTAAAATTCATAAAAGTCAGATGAGGAGGTAAAGATATTCCTGGCTACCCTGTCTCTTAACCTCCTCCACACCCCTCCTTGCATCATCATCATCCCATCCCTCCTTCCTTGGTCGGGGTTATTAGAGGAAGGATGCGGTCGCCCCCTTCTCGCTCCTTTGCTGGTTTCCTCACTTTCCCTCTTTTCGACACCCAAATTAGTGTGAGGTTGCTGTAGAAATGGGTCAACACCTACAATAGTGGGATCAGGTCGCGTGCATGCGCGCGTGTGTGTGTGTGTTAGAGACGGAACGAGACAATTCACTGTGTGATCATGAGCAGTGTGTGTTAGCTCTTTATGTGCTTTTCTGTAATGAGGCTGCATAACAGCTAGAGGTGGCTTTACTGGGCTGACACTCCATGTGCCGTGTTGGAGGAGAGAGGATTGTTTAGGCCTGAGAGAGAGAGATATAAAGGCGAAAGTGCGAGAAGAAAGGAGAGGAAGATAGCAGTAGGAAAGTGTCTCATAAAGGACAGAAACAGCCAATAACTGTCAAATCAGTCATATCTTTAGGAGCCAAGCAAAGTCAGCTTTAAAATGAGTGTGCAGGAGTGTGTGTCTGCGAGTGTTACTGCGCTTGTATCAATGTGCAAGTGTTAAAATTAGGCCTCGAAAGTGACCAGATTTTCTGCTAAGTGAGGTCATTCTGGCCAGTCCTCGATGTTTTAAACAACACAGGAAAACCTGCCTGTGAATGTTGTTTCTTTCATTGTGGTCTAACGACTCTCCGCTGGCGTCTGCTTGGGTTTGAGGCTTCATCAGCGGGCACAGACCGCAATTACTTTGCAGTAATCAGCTTTAAACCAGTCACAGTTGTATACCACATTTTAGTTTTAGTCAAAATATTGAGCTCTCTTGGCACCAATCAGAACTGGAGCACAGACTTTCATTTTCTAAATATGGCTCTGCTTGTTTCCCCCATCATCTAAACAACTCCAAATTAGTTTGTTAATTGCCCTGGTTTACATCTTCCATCAGTTATTTCTCTGTTTTACTGAATAACATCTTGTACCATAACCTGAATCTGAACAGAATGTGACTTGGCAAGGTTTCAAGAACTTTGCAGAGAGGACGAAGGATAAAACTGAAGTTAATTTAAACGTTTTTGAGAAAATCCAAGTGTTTCAGTGTGTGTACATGGTGTGCCTTTACCTTCCATGTGGCTGTGTTTCTCCTGAAATAGGCAAACTTTCGTGTAAACCAGTTGTAGATCTCATTGAGAGTCAACTGTCTGTCTGGGGACTCCAGAATGGCCTGAGAACGAGATGAAGTGGGACAGAAGTTAGAGGAGGACACAGACGGGGAGACGGCAAGAGGGATCACTGGAGAGACTTACATGACGTATAAGAGAGGCGTAGGTAAAGGGAGGCCTGACATCAGCATTCTTGTAGAACTCACAGTTCTGAGCGAGCTCTGAAAAAAAAAAGAGAGAACATTTTAAATTAGTCTGTGAACTTGAAATATTTGTAAATTAGGATTTTTGAAGAAAAATTCTCAAGAAAAAGAATAGAACAAATAATCAGGGTTTATCTAGATAGTTGATATTGTTCAAAAAATCAGGCAAATTTTATTAGTGACGTTTATGAAGATGCTACACGTGTTTTCTTTTCTCCAACCATTTAAAGGCTTTTGCAGCAGTTCATGTGGATTATTTGTGACAGTTCAAAGCACACATTTAAAAAGTTATTGCTTCGATTGCACTGAAACTACAGTAAGTTTCAACTGCAACAAAGACAAGAAACGGCAGTGATTGTCTAAAAGTGATCGACCTTTTTCACCGCGGCCATTTTGACTTGTCACAGTAGGGAAAGCACAGGTGGAATTAATGATGGCTCAGTTCCATTAAGTGTCCCAGTACGCCGTGACACATGACCCAGCATGCACGAAAGCAGGACCTCCCCTAAGTAGAACGGAGCCCTCATTAATACACCTGTGCTTTCCCTGCTGTCAAAGTCAAAATGTCTGACGTGAAAAAGCTCCACGGCTGAATTACGACATATTTTAATGCTCTGGCAGGGACACAGCAACAAGTTTTGTGAGAAAAAAAAAAAAAAAAAAGTCATCAATACTCGATTAAAAATTTCTGAAATCACGTACGGACCCCAAGAAGAGAAGCGTCACATAACATTCGTGACGGCTAATGGGGAGCCAAATAAATAAAGAAAATTAATCAGTTAATTATAACTCAATAAGTAGATAATGCATGATAATAACATAAATGGGAGGGTAATGAGGGAATCGGTGTGAGGGGGGAAGATGTATGTTGCGGTCTACCTGAGGCGATGGGGGTGCAGTACTTGTCGGAGTTGCGCCTACGTATGGGCCCGACAGCGTGCGAGTGGGAGTGGGAGTGTGTGTGCAGGCTGGAGGAGCTGATGACTGAGGGTCCCTGTCGCAGTGGGGTGATGGGGGTGGCGGCGGAGGTGGGGGGGTGGGGGAGTCCCTCCGGGTAGGCGTCGCTGTCCCGCTTTAACAGAGAGCCACTGGAAGCCAGGTTCAGCTGGAAGGAGACGCAAAAATCATGTCAGCTTCGTGTGTGGCAGCGAGATTTCATAGTTTTTCTACTTACAAACAAAAACATCATTTTTAAAAATATATCCTGTTGCATTGTAGCTTGTCACTTGTTAACAGACTATTGATACACATCATGAAAACTGATGTCAGTTTAAAAAGGTGAGAAATTAAAAAAATAAAAATACAATGAGAAATTGACTTTAGAGATGGATCGTGCATGTTTCAAGTCTGGAGAATGTTTTATCGCTGGGTAGTGATTCAGGCTTTTTTGAAACCTGCACTACAGTCCAAAAATATGCTTAAGTCGAACACCTCACCCCAACTCGAGCCCTGTTGCTAAATGCCCTAACCACAATGGCTTCATTTCTAATTCCACATTTCCATTTTACCCAGTCATCTTCCTTCTTTCCCTTCCACAACTGTCTTTTCTTTTTAATAAATGTGTATTAATGAGTAAATAACCCATGAAATTTTATGCAGCAGACTGAGTTTAATCAACAGGGGTTTTACTCACGTTTGTCACAATACATCCATGGCCATTTTAAGTTATATGACCTCGGAATACGTGTAACTAGAAGCGAAGCGCTATGTAGTCTGTGCAGATTCATTTGCAGGTTAATTTCCTCGGTCACATTACCTGCTCCACTCCCAGATTACGCCAAACATCAATAGTAAAAACTGTATCTATAGTCATGCCTCTCCTGAAATGTTTTGTTATGGAGGTGGATCGGTCTAGGGTCTATTTTCAGCAGCACAGACGCTACTGAATGATCACAGAAATATTAAAGGAATATTACAGAAATAACACAGGCAGCAGTGTGTCTCTGTGATCCGACTGCTTTTCTGCGACTCCACGTTTCTGCTTGTTACTTAAATATCATAGTCTGGGTACAGACACGTGTGCTAGATGTGAGTCAGTTCACAGTTTGCCGATGCAGATTAGCGACAGTCGGGGCATAAGAGTACTTGCACTCTCTGGTCCGTGCATGTGAGTGTTCAAGGAAGTTCGAGAGAGTGACAAAAAGGTGGATTAGTGGGCTAATCACAGCCTAGCGTACTGCACTCAGTGTTTCTGTAAGTTATTTATAAGTTAGCTGAAAAGCTGCTTTGTCACTGTTTGAGCCAACCCGCCTGAACTTGTGATACTTTCTGTTGAGCTTACCCAAACCTGCCTGACCCGCAGGTTATGGGACAACAAATGGTTTTCTTTATAACTATTGCTGTCCTTGTGTTTCGCTGTCAGCTGAGCACTGCGGCTGTTTACATAAAAGGGTCATCTAGATAAGATCAGGGTCTCAGGGTCAGGTGATATCAATGCATTCGACAATTTCAATCCTTCGCTAAGGTATTCTTACTGAGGTTTCAATTCAGAAGTGGCATGTCCATTTAGTTTCCCTGCTCTGCCATAATAGAGCGCAGAAATGATCCACACAGACCAGACGGCCTGCTGCTGAAAACTGTTCCAACCATTAATTTGACTTAATTTAACCTTTTGCGATAAAGGTTGCTCTGTTCAGGTGCGCTACTAGGCTAACTCCCATAAAAAAAAAAATCAGGCCTGCAGCACTCCCTATGAATATGTGGCCCTATCATTTGTGTAGAACCGCACACACGCGCACACTCTGAACATGCACATATATTTATACACATGGCGCTGGCTGCAATTAACCCTGAGCTTACAAAAACAAAACCACACGACAGCATGTTTGTAAGAAGGGAACACACACATGTGCTCTGCGGTGGCGAAGTCTTCACGGACCAATTCGGCCCAATTAGGCAGAGCCTCACACACGCACACACATACAAACGCATACACATACACAACGAACCAGTACTCCCAGTCTCTTTGGGAGAGCCGTTGTAAGGCTGCTAGTTTTGGACTAATTAAAACCACTGAGTGTGTATGTGTGTTGTCTAGATGTATGTAAAATGTGTGAATCGCCTCCTCTTTACTCTGCTCCCTCTCTGTACCATTTAAGCGGGCCGGAGGGGGCGGGGCTGTTTAACAGGTACTTCATTAAAGCTGCAACCCTGCCCCATCACCACGGCAACAGTCGAACACTGTTAATTGAGGCCAAGCTTTGTTTCCATTCCTGATGCTCCTCCTCTGCCCCTCCTTCTCCAATCCCTGACCCTGAGGCTCGTCTCCAGTGGTGACAGAACACGCCTCTTCCTGATTTCCCATTAGATGATAATGGCAGCTGATCCCCCTGCGATCAACACATCATCCAGACACACAAGTGCGCACAAACACACACACACACACACACACACACACACACACACACACACACACACACACACACACACACATTGCCACTCGGCTGCACCCATTTATATCCTCAAATTAAGACACTCTACCTCTAATTGACAATTAATTTCAACATCTTCATATTTTAATAAGACTCCTCGTCAATCTGAATAATGAAATATTCATTAGATACCTAATAACAACCTCACCAGTCAGTGTGGACACACACACACACACACACACACACACACACACACACACACACACACGACACATCAATTTTCGATTCTATTTGTCGGCACATTCTGGAAATAAAGTGAGAGAGTGCTCTGGCTGTTCTCCCTCATCAGCAACCGAAGAAGTTGCAATTTTTGAATAGAAATTCAACTTGGAAACAGTTTGAACGTGTAAAAAGCTGCAATCTGTGACTTCGTCTGAGGAATTGGAAGACAACAAAAAAGTAGTTTTCTTGGAAATAAAATGCACTGGATCATGGGAAGTTTAAGATGAAGAATAATAGAATAAAGGAAACAAAAAAGAAAGACAAAATGGAGCGTGGAAAAGTACAAGAGAGACAGAAAGTAGGCCTGGATGATTTATAAATAACACATTAGCCTTCTTTGGTCAATAGGGGGCGTAGATACCAAGCTAAACAGTAACAGAGAAATGTGAAATCCCAAGAAGGGCAGAAGTAAAGAAAGTGATCAATTAAGAGGAGCTTGCGGGTGAATAAGAGGTAGAGACAGAGGTTTGAGGTCAGATGGTAAATGTCATGTAATTTGGACTCACAGGTTGGTTAAAAGGCTTTGGCTCTGAGGGGCGCATGTGCAGGTGGGTCATCATGGCCTGGAGTCGCTCGCTCTCTTTTGCCAGCTGTGAAGCACACAAGAGTGACTGTGAAATACATGTTATCTCATTTCATAACCCTTAGATTGATATAATGCCGTATTGACACAGAATTACAATTACAATTACACCTCAGGCGCAGAGATGAATATGAGAGTCGGCCGCCTCAGCACCCGCAGCTCTCACACACACTTACACTCGCCTGCAGACACACTCGTCCCCGTTTGACTTTGTTAACTGCTGTTTAATGGGCGCTGCTACAGCCTGTGGAAACATCGGATCCTGTGTGTGTGTGTGTGTGTGTGTGTTTGTGCACGAGTACAAGCGTACACATCTGTAGCCCCTAGAAATAAGGGATGTACACCACGACAGATAGCACCGTTAACACACTCACAGTGATGTGTGTCAGTGTGCAAATATGAGAAATCTAAACACAGTGACTGTCCTGCATCTCTGTGGGTCTATGCTGTGTTGTGTTGTGTTGTGTATTGTTGTGTTGTGTGTGTGGAAAGAGCGGTGGGCTGCCTGTGGACTGCTGAGGGATGAAGTGACATGTCAAGGAGAGAGAGACGGCTGTCCTGATGTGATGTGACACCAGCTGCCTCTCTGTCACTTTGTGTTCCCTGGTGGTGGCTTCAGGGGCTCAGCTAAACGCTGTTTACCACCACTACCAAACACAAAAGCTACCCCTAATGCTGGACAGCCCACACACACACACACACACACACATATACACGCACGCACACACACGCACATGCACAGTGTTGTGAACGCTGTATTCAGGAAACTGAATGTCAAGATGTGTGTGAAGAATCAGCCTTTGTGTTTTCAATTTGTTTGGAACTTTCTTGCATACAGTGCTGGTTGAGAACAGCATTTCACTTCTTACCCGTGGCTACTTTGCTTTTGCTGGAGCATTCAGATGTTTCAAGAGCGTTGCGTGTGTGAACCACTTTGAGAACAAGAGACTCCTTGCAGCCTGATCCTCTGCTCTCTAGCTTGTGTCTCTCTCTTTTCTCTTCTCTCCCTCCTCCCCTCTCAGCCTCACTCTCTCTCTCTTGCTGGTGACCAGAGAAGCTTTATAATTGGAGCAGCGATGGCAGCTTCCCTGCTGACTGCTCCTTTTAAATTACAAGCTCCACTGCTCTCCATAAACTCTGCCCTGCCTCAGACAAGTTACTGCCAGTGACAGGCTGAAACGGTCTTCATGACTTTGTTTGTGAGCAAATGAAAATTAAGCGAGTGTGTGTGTGTGTGTGTGTGTGTGCGTGTGTGTATTGTATTTGTGTGTCTGTGCGTGACCCACCTGTATCTCCAGTTGCTGAACCACCTGCATCTGAACTCGGCACTGAGCAGTGCTGCGGTCATCTAGGGCGTGCTCATTGTTCAAGTGCCTAAAGCAGATGGGAAATGCAAAAGAAGATCAACATTCATTAATTCCTGTGAAATAACTTGATATCTACAAATAAAAAAAAGCATCAAGATCAAAGCGCCGCTGGTTCCGATTCAATGGGGGAACTTTTAAGTCAAAAGGATTACTGCTAAATGAATTCACAGGTCCTGAAAGATGAAGTAACAAGACTCTTTCAGCTCTTTCACTTTTATTTCAACTGAGTTATGAGCTGTTTCTGTGCTATAACAATAAACCATAATCTTGGAAGTTTATTTTGTCTAGTGAAGGACGCGGCAGCTGTGTTTTGTGTGTGTATACTTCATTGGTGCTCACTGAGCCATAATCCAAGACAACCACCTGGATATGAGCTCATGTGTTATCGCACAAAGCCTTATCTTAAGACTTTTTGCTCGCTAAACTCCACTCCACTTATTAACACTGGTGCGCATGTGTTGTGTGCATAGACGTGTGTGTGTGTGTGTGTGTGGGAATGGTGGCGCTGTTTGTTTCCTCAAATGTGGGAGGACCTGGGACCTTCTGATCTTTCCCAGTGCACCCCTCCCTGTCTCTCCCTTCCACCATCCCTCTGTCATCACCAAGGTTATTCACAGGTTGCTGCTGCTGCCTGCCCAGTGTGTGGGACTGTGTGTGTGTGTGTGCTCATGCATAAAAGTGTAGTTGTGTGTGAGAGATATTTGATATCCTGTTGTGTTAACTTTTTAATCTTCATAAATCCACTTGTTTATTGTGAGGATATGTTAATGTATGTTACACAAAGGATTGCGTATGTGCATTTCCGTGTGTGTGTGTGTGTGTGTGTGTGTCTTTAAGAAAGTATAAAGTTAGGCAATATCAGGCAAAGACTAGAAATGAAACAAAAACAATGATGTCATGGCATGGCTAATCTAGGCAGATAGATGGCTCAACACAAGTGCACGATAATAATAACAAAAACATGATCTCACCCCTCTCTCTCTCTCTCTCTCTCTCTTTTCCTCACTCACTCTCGGTCGAGCTCTCGCTCTTGCGCGCTCTTCGTCACTTACACTTCTGTCCACTCACCCCTTCCCACTCTTCTTCCCCCGCAACTCCCCGAATGCCTGTGATTCACACTCATTCCAACCAAATCTGCCCCCAAAAACCCTCCCCTCTCTCCCTCTCTCTATCCCTCTCTCTATAGCAGGGCCATAAACAGTAGCAGGGTTTTTTTTTTTCTTCTTCTTCTTCTTTTTCTCTCGATGTGTCCCGACAATGAGGCTCTGTTTACTCCTCTGAGTGCTGGCAGACAAGGCTTTAACCCACATTACACCCAGCTCCACCGACCACAGCCAGAGTATTATACCAGAGGACAGGGAAGAAGGGAGGGAAGAGGGAGGGGAGGTGGGCAGAGACAAGAGGAGAAGAGAAGAAAGACCTGAAATAGTGGAGTGTCTCCCTCCTCTGTTCTTCTGCTCTACCCTTTTCCCTCCTGGGGCGATGACTAAGGCTCGCTGGAAGGGAGCGCGCTGTTGGACTGACGGCATTATCTGTCGCTGCTTCTATTTTTTTTTTTATCTCCCTCCCTCTTTCTCTCTTTTCTACACACACACACACACACACACACACACACTCTTTCACTCGATCTCTAGCTCTCCTTCCATCTGCCCCGGGGCTACGTGAAATGAGACACCAAACAACAGCTTTCCTCTCCAAACTTTCCCAGCCTGCCTGCGAGCTTTGATCTGACTGTCCGATGCCATCACGATCACACTGCGCACACTTCTGTGATTATGTGTGTGCGTGAGTACGTATTTCATCACCCCGGCTTATTAATATCTCTCCGTTGTTCAAATAGCTGAGAGTTCCACATCGATAATGAGTGTGAGTTTGTTTAGGGCTTCATTAGGAGGCTTGTGAAGCCTTCGTTAGCAGCCATAGCGCCACAGGCAAGTCCACTGCACTATGTGTGACAGAGGAGGAAGAAGAAGAAGAATGTCAAGGCCAGATACTGCATCGGCATTGACTCCAAACTAAAGGGAGAAGTCGCTTGACAGAAAATGTGCAAACACACACTTACAGACAAAAAAATTAAAAACAAAAGAGCTTTGTGGCACACATGAACCTGAGCTTACATATCTAGACTGTCCATGCCGTGGCTACGAGTGCACGTGTACAGCCAGTAAAATGACTGATAGTTGAGGAATGACAGTTGAAGAGGTTTCAGTTGTAAAAGGAACCCAAAGAATCCTTAGAAAACAAAGAATTTACACGCACGACAAGAGAAATGTGTGTCCCGGTGTGTTTGTGCATATGTGCATGCATGTATTTGCCTCAGAGCAAATGTGATGTAACAGATTGCAACAGACGAATTAGTCAGGAAACGCACAACTCCAGTGATGTACGTGACTGACATGTACATTACAGGCATGGCTTCGCTTTGCTGTGCTTCATCTTTTGTCGGTACACGTAATCTAAATCAGAGAATGTGTCATGTTTCCTTCTCCTGCAGCGTTACTGCACTCCAGTGTTGTTGAGCCTTTTAAGTAACACTGCGCTGTGTTTGTTACCAATTGGTGATAAAACTGAAGGAAGCTTTAATGCGGTCTTAAACCTGGATGGTGGTTAATGCAGTTAATGAGTGTGTGACTGCAGGATTTTGGGATAGCAGCCAAGAGCATTCACACATTACCACCTGAAACTGACAAACCATGCGAAAGGCACTGTAATTAAAACTTGACTAAAGAGATTTTGATGATCTCCATTTGTGTAATGCTTTAAAAATAGAAAATTTGGACAGCTCTAGAAATATTGTCCCTGTGACTTCTCCAAAGGAACTATAAACACATCCCTGCAACACACCCTTAAAGAGCCGTTAAAGGGCGTGTAAATGGAAAATTGACACTTTACCAGAAGTCTTGGTCAAAACAGAACCTCATACTAAAACTACAGCAGCCGCCCCTATCAAGGACTAATACAGAGTTTGTTTTTTCAGTGCACTGATAGTCAGACTGACATATTTAAAGATTCTGCTGTATTTGCGCCCTATTCTGTCATTTTTCTTTTACACAGCTGGTGACTTACTTGATGAACTGTCCCATGTCCTCACACAGTGCTTCGCAGCCAGGCCACTTACACTCTCCATGGCCGTAGAGGGGATGGGAGCCGGCATGCTCCTCATGACTGGGAAGAGACAGACACACACACAAAAAGCAACAGTGAGATAGTGATACAGATTTCATGTTGTTACGTAGATACGATGTGAAGCAAACACAGTCAGGTACCTCTTTAAAATAAGAAGCAAAGCGTTAATATGCCACACGTTCACACACAAACACACACATGAAAAAAATGAAGCGTAGCAGCAGCAGCAGCATCAATGCAGCCATCTGAGTCTGGTTAGCAGTCATTAGTTTGTACAGTTCACAAAGCCAAGTGCAGAGAGAGGAGGATAGAGCAGAGTGGGGTCAGTTACAGAAGCCAGGCAAACAAGGGAATTGGTCCAGCAACCTCAGAGTCACTTTCTGAAGTCCATGACCTGTCTTTCTGTCCTTGGCGTGTGTTTTGCATGTGTGTGTGTGTTAGTGTTGGTGTGTGTTCTAATGTTTCAGGAGTTGACACAGAGCCGGCACAGGACCAACCAGCCATGACTGATTGGCGGCGGTTGCCGTCATGTGCTGGTTGTTCTTTTGTGGTGAGCTTGTGTGTGCGCCTTCGTGTGTGTATCTGTTCGGATCCTATGAGCGTGTGTGTGTGTTTGTATGCGAGTGTGACGATGAAAGACTAGGCCAGGTTTGGTTTGGACCCAGGGTAAAATAACTGTATCCGTGCATGTGTGTGTGGCAGGTCCAGTAGCAGATGTGGTTCAGACCTGGACCTCTGCCGGCGACTGCTGTCTCCACATATATTTACATGACTGTGTATGTGTGTACTTGTGTGTGTGTGTATATGAGAGTGTGCGTGAGTGTGTGTGTGTGAGGACTGGAATGGGGATTCTCCCAAATCAACATCAGAAGGTTGTCTAACAAAAACCATTTGTCTTGCAGATGGAAACATGTCTCTCTCTCTCTCTCTCTTTGCTTTTCGCCTCTTCCTGATCATATGTGCAGGCTGAGGTTGGAGTGTACGCCGTGAGTATGTGTGTGTGCTGGCTGTGGTTGAGTCAACTCAGAAGCAGCTCAGACAGCAGACATGACAAACTGCTGGCAACCACATTCTCCTCCACATCAGCCATGCATTAGCTTAGCAGGCTAACGCACTAATGCTACCCCCTTTGTGATCTTCTAAACCGGCAGCAAACTGTAGTTGCAGTATGACAGTGTGTGACATCTTTAATCCACTAATAGAAGCTGTTTAGATTAACACTTGTCCACCCACCCTGACTCCTCCAAAATGAGGTCAAGGGTCAACAATGTCCCTGGCATAAGCAGGGAATCAGTGCTAAAGGATACCTTAGACCACCCTCGGATTGTGTGCCTTTCTGTCTCATCCTCTCTAGAGTGTGTACGTGTGTGTACGTGTATGCACTACTCACTGGCTGCTGGGGGGTTGGCTGCCTTTGGAGTAAAGGGGAACATGGTCATCTCCGCTGTCTGCCTTGGTGAAGGAGGATATCCACTCAAACAGTCTGGCTCTTAAAGACGGAGACAAGCCCATGAGCAGCCAACACAGCCATGGGACAACACAGTCCTGACACAGTGTGTGCAGAACAAATACACCTGGCACATGCATCCCTGATAACGCACGCACTATACCGGGGAATTTATCTCTGCAGTACGTTCAGACATCCAGCTCTACTTCTCCTTCCAGGACTCCACCACCCTCTCCTCACTTCTCCTCTATACCATGCTGGCATGTGGTTGACAGCATACTGGCAGAACATACTGAACCCAACACACCTCCTATCAAATGAGCTGAGGGACATTTACACCCTGGTGATGTGTGATATGCTGCATGTGCATGTGCACAAACTGTGTTTGCGTGTGTACGAGAAAACAAATTTAAAGTTAAAATTCCCCAAAACAAAATTGTCACTTTGTGAAAAGAGAGATTGCAAGTGACACCGAGGACAGACACGCCATCACAATGTGGATATTGCAAGAATTTTGACTTCTTCGTCTTCTTCTTTTTTTTTTTTGTTTACATCACTTTACCTGTCTCTCTTTGGGGTGTGGCTCTGTCCGTTGGGCAGGCTGTGCAGTGGAATGTGAGCACTGGCAGCTTTGGGGAAGGCTGAGGTAGAGTTGGAGCTGTTGGTGCTCAAGTCCAGGCCCTCGGCCTGTTTCAGGGCCTCCTCACTGCTTGGCACCCCTGACACCTCCTTCCACAGTTGTTGGAGGTCTGACGGACACATCGCTGCAGAAAAGGACGCACCGTTAACTTAGCAACAGGTCTCTACTGACACGTTCAGCGCAATTGTAGTGATAGGATATATATATATATAAGTTAAGCTAATTCAAATAAGAAAAGATATGATTAATTATAAATCAGATAATATCACCCACATACAGGCATACTGTAAATAAACTGATGTCACAGATAGCTGTGACTAATTATTCTAATCCACATGAAACACACATGCTGCTATTAGAGCTCCTGTGGTTAAAAGGAGTGGTTAAGAGAGAGAGAAAAAAAGGAAAACTAAAACAGACAAGAGGTTAATTTTTGCATGTATATGTCATCTTTCCAGATACACACTATTCCTCAGGAACGTCCCAAACAGTTTTTGGCAATTGCTACTGTCCACCAGCACCACTGCTCCCGTCACGACCACTATTTGTGTTAACAGGGTGGGTGCACACTTTGAGCTCTTTCTAGTCACAGCTTTGTTATTTCTGCTCCAATTTCACAGTGAGAGAGACGCCTAAAATGCCACAGCCTACTCTAATGGATCTTAGCATGCGCGCGCACACACACACACACACACACACACACACACACACACACACACACACACATCTGCACATACGCATACAGAGACCTCGCAATCCAAATATTATGTCTGCTTTGTCTGCATTCTTTTGCGGTCCCGCCAAAACAAAAGTTCTCACTCTGGAAGAATTAGGTGGTGTGTGCATAGATTTCTACGTATGTGTGTGCGCTTGTATTTTTATCCCATAAATCGAACCGTGGACACGCTTAGAGAGTGAAAGTGTAAAGTAGCTAAAGATTGTTATGTAATGAGCCGCAGCAATCAATCTAACTAAAAATAAGGTAAAAATGTAACATTAGAGAATAAAAAGACGCTTGGGGAAAACAGTAGTTTACTGATTAATTTGAGGTAAACAAACTTAAGCTGTAAGCAGACATGAGAGAGATTTGTAAGCAAACAGTCAGGACTTTGTGTGCATTCAGGTGAAAACTGCTCCCACAATTTCCTTCACCTAATTTTGGCAGATACAAAATATTTGAGAAGATGAGAGTTTTTTTGTTCATACATGTCAAATACATACACTCATCTGGCTATTATGGTCATTTTTATTTCACATTGATGTCTGTAGACAAATGATTGCTGCAGCTTGAAGTTACATAGAATGCATTGTAGCAGAGTGAAGTCAAACCATGCAAACAAATTTGTATAAAAGTTACAGAAACTGCTGAAACAGTTATTTATACACATCTTAGTGTTTGGTCTGGGCCCGGGCTGTCATTAAAATTTGTTTAGTGCACTTTCTCTTTATTGCCATGAACTTAGTCGGCTTTGTCGTAATCAGTTATGAGAGGTCTACAAAGTTTCTCCATCTTACTGCAGCCACAGAAATAAACAAAAACCATAGCGAGACCCCTCACGTCACCCCCACCACCACCACCTACACACCGAGCACAACAGCCCTCTGAGGCGGGGCAGTAAGTGTGTGCATTTGTGTGTGTGTGTAGGTGCGAGTGTTTATTCACGAGTGTTTGTGTGTTTGTGTGGCATGGCTGGTCAGAGGAATGCTCTGGCTCACGCCTGGCTGAGCCGTCACAATGGAGCAGCTCTTTCACACTGCAGGGAAATTCCAGTCTGATACGGAGCGAGAGAGAAAGAAAGAGAAGGAGATGCCAAAGCTGAATGTTTGCAACTCTTTGAAAAATTACACTCGTCTAACAAAACTGTAGCTTCTGTCTTTTCATTTGTATTCAGTTTGTGTCCAGCTGTTCTGATTTTTTTTTTTTGTTTTTTTTAACTCTAGTAAAACCGCTTGTCCTCTGGTGGACCTACCTTACACACAGTAACGCACTCTGCCCCCTATAGCACATAAACACATACACAAACTTAATGTAATTTCAGGCGTTGTTAAACTTATTTGAAGCTAAATTTTCCAACATTTAATGAACTTGATTGGGTGTTTTTTAGTTGCATACGAGTGTGTGTTTGTGTGTGACTGCAAGTGACTGTGCATGAGGAGGGAAAAAAAAGGAGAGATCAGAGATCAAACAGACGAAGGGAAGGAAACTGGTCTGTTTGGTCAACTCAGTCAGCGCTTTAGCAATGTTACGGCCACTTTAGAGCCCCTAAAGCATTCTCTGTGAGTGAGATAGTGTGTATGCGTGTGTGGATGTGGACACGCAGACTTATACACATGTTCATAAAGGGCGGGCCAGTCGACAGTCAACATTTATCGTTATAAAACTCCGCTGACAAATTTAAGGGACTGTGGGAGAAGTTATACGTAGGAACAGGAAAAAAAAAAAAAAACTCGCTTGGGCAAAGTAATAGCAAAACGATGATGTTCTTGTGTCTGGCTAATCTCAAGTACACACACACACGCATGCACACATTTGCCCAAGCACATGCACACATCTCTAAGCAGGGGGCTTAGTGGCATATTTTACCTATTATCCAAATGAGTACTTTCCACAAACCCACCAATCACGTTTCCTTTTATCTTTTATAGGCTGATTAACTTAACAGGCTTCACAGGCAGCACTGGGTACAGGCCTGTGTGTATGTGTATGTGCACAGTTTTGCTCATGTGTGCATGCATGTTTGTCAGGATGTGTCTGTGTCACAGAGTGTTGGACGGTTACGGTGTATGGGTTCTGTGTATGAACGCATGTTCGTGCTCATACCTTGCTGCAGAGACTGCATGGCGGCAGTGGGCTGCAGTGGAACCAGGCCTTGTCTCTGGAGGTTGAGGATGTGCTGCTGCTGAAGCTGCTGCATCTGGATCAGCTGCTGCTGGAAGGCCAGTTGCTTACTGCCTAACTGCTGTTAGCCAGAAGAGAAGACACAGACAGAGTAGAGACGTTAGTGAGATAGGTAATTTTTTCTTTGCTGCAGCTAACTAACTTGATTTCATTTTGTTTTAATTGTCTCAATTTGATAAGCATCAAATTCTAGCAGGATTTCCATCTGATGTGAAAGTAAGCTCTGACCAACAAAACCCTCAGATGTTTCCAAAATATTGGACCCACTGACTCTTGTTCTGATCTTGTTCTTTGTAACCAAAACTGAATGCCACAATTTCAACTAAAATATTGTTCGAGCAGAGAAGCAAGCAATTTTGTGAAATCAAAAACATTTTAATTTGTATTATTAGACCTTGTGCTCATTTTTGCAAAAAAATATGAAACCATAAATGCAGTATACACTGAACCAGCAGGGGCCTGCAGTAATCTGCTTTCACTTAAAAAATTATAATTAGCTTTGACTCTGAACTACTAAAGAAAAATAATTTTGCAAAAGTATCCCTTTTTCCAGTCGCAGTTTTGAACTAAATATCTGATTTAACATAAAAAGTTGCTGCAGTTTCATGATTTTTTTTCTTTACACCTGAAAAGAAGTCCTTCCTTTTACTATGATTTAAATTGGTCGGCTTATCCCATGTTACCATTCAGCGCCAACATATTGAAGCATAAAGTCAATTAACAACATATAAAATAAATAAAGGGATGCTGTAAAGGTTAATTGTTGCTGAAAAATAAAGTGAGAACTATGACGTATAAAATTAGTACCATATTAAAAAGAAGAGAAGCCTGAGGATATAGAGAGGAGGCGAAAGGATTGAGGGAGGTTAAAGGGAGACTGGAGGAGACTACATGGCGTGTGGTGATAATGTCGGTGTGTGTTACGGTGATAAATGTCCCCTTTCCTGCTCTCCCAGTCTGGGGCAGACCTGGCCTGTGCTGCGCTATTTGAAGTCGCCCCCCTCCAACCAGCCCCTGAGAGAGATGGACTTTATCTCTCACAGATAACTAGTGGAGAAGAAAAATAAATAAATACAAGTGCACATTGTGTGTGTGTGTGTGTGTGTGTGTGTATGTGTGTGTGTGTGAAAGAGAGTGGCAGCCTGGAAGTCTTTGAACAGAAAAGAACTCACAGGAAGGGCAAATAGGTCATTTCCTTTCAGACTTGGTGCCTGGGGAGAAGAAGTGTGGTGTCAGTGTGTTTGTGTATGAGAGGTTGCTGCTGGGGAGGTGTGTGCTTATGTGTGTGTGTGTGGTGGGAGTGCAGACGAGTAAGCACAACTATTCTTTACACAGATAAAAAAAAAAAAAAAGAGGGAAACTCTTTATCCATGTAATAGTTCAATGAAATTGTACAGTATGATATCTAGATATCTGGAGCTTGTTTTACATGTTTTACAAACGCAATTTGCAAGCACTGTTTGCAGGCACACTGTGTGTCGTTTAACAAATTATTTCTGTTCTTGCGTTCAAATGTGTCAACTTGCAGGAGAAGAATTTACCTAACTTTTTCAAATCCCAGTCTGCATGTTTGGTGAAATACCAACGCTGATCCTCGTTTAATGAAGTTTATAAATGTTAAATCCCTAAAAACGTATCTCTGTGTATGAAAGATACATATTTACAAGGTTTTTCAATGAAAACATTCCCTTGCTGTTTCAAAATGGCTGAGATTTACCTCTACACATTGCTTCCTTTTAGAAAAATTAGAACTATGAAGTAATCACTTCCATCTCAACCCATCCTTCCACCATTAGCTGCAGCTGATGCACACCAGCTCACTTGCATATCTGCACCAACACAGTAAAACTGTTACACAATAGCAAATTGTTGTATTACAGTATTTCAGCCGTACATATACTGTGAGTCTGAATTCATTATCTTGACATGATCAGTGGTACACTGCTTTTTCAAGGCCGAAATTCTCAGTAATGGCAATAATTGCTTATTTCACTCATGATGTGTCTTCAAGCATATAAAAAACACAATATAGACATGTGAACAAGGTAAAAAATGAACAGGAAATTAATCTCCAATAGACAACAAGTACAGACCACAGAGATCTCTTGTTCACGTTGCCCAGAATTTTTTGACTAAAGTCACCGGTCAAGTTATCTAGTCGCCACTTACATCGGACCAAACCACTACAGTCCATGAAACAAAGCTGGTGCTGCCTCATCCTGCCTCATTATTCTCCTCCTGCACTTTACCTTCAATTTCGTTGTTTAAAAGACATGTGTCTATTGTATTACCAACTACAGTATCATTTGGAAACACCCAGCTCTTTGGCCTTGTCAGAGGTGTTGTGGTCACCGACAAAATCCGTGTCATGCTTACATAGTTCAGTTCTTTGAAGTGAATTGCCAAATTCTAATTAGTTACAATAAATGGTTTATCAAGCTCAGAATGTCCTGCCTGAGCTGTTTCCTCCCTCTCCTTTGCTCTCCTTTTCAGCCCTCCTGCCCCTCCTTTTCCACTTGTCTGTCCATTTTATTTTTTCCACTCCGTCCTCTGTCTCTCATTCCCTCCTGAGATATGGCTATGGTTCTTTAAAACACACATAGTGTGAGTCTATGTGTATGTGTGTGTGTGTGTGTGTGTGTGTGGGTGTGTGTCTGTGTTCTGTTTACATTAGCTGTGGCTGAGTGGCCAAAGCTAGCGCAGTAACAGGCTGTCAATGTGATTTATGAGCACATCACACACTGTCTGAGCCTGCCAGTCACACAGACACGCGCACGCGCGCACACACACACACACACACACACACACACACACATACATATAAAAGGACACTAGCAGAAGATGTACACACACACAATAGATGGACACCCAAAGACACACACATACACACACACATGCACGCATCTCTTGTGATGGTCAGAGTCACTTCATTAAGCTGACTCCTGACCAGTCCCAAATGCTCCGGCGACACACAAAACACTGACTCGACACGCACATACATAGTCTTTCTTTCAATGCATCACTTCCACACAGACAAGAAAGTGAAGAGAAATTGCAGAAGAGAGGGAAAAGGGCAAAAAGGCAAAGCCACTAACTGCACAAACGCTCCAAAAAGCAGTGGAGGGATTTTATTTTACTCTTCTCTGTCTCCTGCTAGACTGGAGTTGGTTCAAACTACTGACCTACCTAACTAATTATTACTCTGACCAGCGACTGGCTTCAGAGACAATACAACCTAAGCATTACAGCTAGTTGGAGACATACCAACAGTATAAACCTCGCAAACAACATTTGTCTCAGTATCTTACAACACCTGCTTGGCCAGGAGAAGTGAAAACAATGACTAAAAAGATGTTTTGGTTGTGATTGATGCCTCCAAGCAACTGAGAAACACTGACTGCTGGAAATGGCCTTAGTCACATCAGCTGTATGCGCCTCTGCAGGGAGGCATATTCCCCCAGGTGTATGTGTTTGTGCAGTGAACCGTCACACATCAAGCCTCTCTCTCTCGCTCTCTCTCTCTCTCTCTCTCACGCTGCATGTATGTGTAGCTGTTTGACCAGTGTTTGCACTTGTCTAGTTGTTACAGGACAACAAACCTGAAAACTGGGACAGTGGCAGAGCGAAGGGAGAAGGGGAAAGCGATTCAGACACCCTCTCAACATGCGAGTCAACCACAACTGGTTTGCTTTGGTCACGGTCGAGTTGGTTGACCGCTGTCGGCGAGGAGTTTGTGGGGTGGGGGCTCTGCCCGCTGGGAGAGGAGGGGGAGATGAGGGAGGAGGAGGAGAAATCTAGGATGTGTCTCCTCATGCGTTTATCGGAAAAGTCTCACGAGGTCTTTCTCCTTAAGTCTGTCTCCTGCATGGTCGTCGGTGTATTGGATTTTTTTGGGGGGGCTTTCTAACATTCATACACCTATACATAAACAGGCAAACATCCACACGCAGTAATCTAGTCTGATCAATTCAGATCCTCTTTGATGTGCCACTATGTGATCCTAGTTGATCCTCTGTTATCTTACTGTACCACAGCTGTGGTTAAACCTGGTACAGTGTGTGCATTCATGCATATTTGTGTGTGTGTGTGTGAGAAAGAAAGAGGAAGAGCAAGTGAGGGAGGCTCCAAGTGTTGGCGGGGTTAATTGACAATTAAAAGAGCGGCAGACCCCTCCTACAGAGAGATTTCCCCTCAGTCTTAGAGCTGAAGGCATGCAAATGAACACTTTGGCAGGGTAGCATATGGCTCAGCACTTGCTAATCCTTGTTTTGAGACGAGCTTGTACACACAACAACAAACTAGATAACTGGAGGATGACAACAGCAAACGAGAAGCGGAAAAAGAGAGCGAATGTACTGTATGTGTAATATATTCTATACGTTACATCCTCTATGTGGTTTTTTTTTTCTGCTTTTTCCCATGTCAGCCACTTTTACTGCATGTAAGGGCACTTGTGTACTTCAGAGTGTACTTGAGCTGAGTGAGTGTGTACTTGGCTAAGTTCACCTCTTTTGCTGCTTGCTTCCCAGCCTGCTGTTGCTGCTGCTGCTGTTGCTGCTGCTGCTGCTGAGTCAGAAGCTGGAGATGTAACTGCTCCTGCTGCTTCTTGTAGTACTCCTGTAACTAGAGACAGACACAGAAAGGGGGGAGGCAGGGTGATGAGAAAGGGGAGAAGGGGGGGGGGGTTGAAGGAACATGAGGCGAGTGAGTCACAATGCACTTTGTACCAGCCTCAACAATTCTACAGTTTTCCCGTAAAATGACGTGGACGAGTCAGACATCATCATATGAATAGGAGTCTACAATAATGCAGCTGCTTTTGATTCTTCGGCTCTCACCGAAGGTCACTGAAGGCAGTTTATTGTTGTTGCTGCATGCGGTTCATTGACAAACCCCACACAACAAGCAAACACAGATCTGACAAAGACTCCTGAAGTATGTTCAGAAGCTGTTATGGTGTGTTGAGCAGTGTCAAAGCTAACTGTATATCACCGTAACCTCCTGGATTATTCACAGGGTTTAAACTCTGTATAGAAGGATCTGAGGGTGGCAAAAAAAAGCAGGCAGACACAAGAGAAGGACATACATCTGCATGCAAGCACTGCATTGTACTGAAAAGGAGTAGCTATATGACTAGAAAATACTAAACAAATAACTCAAAACAGATCTGAAAATGAGTGCTGGTGGCTGCTACATACTTTTTACACACATACACACACATGCAGTCTGCAAGACTGAACAGGACTGTTCTAAACCTACAGGCAAAAAAATGCACGTGGAGATATTCCTCTGTGAAATCTTACAGTATTTAGTGTACCGCTGTCATAAAACACCTGCTGGGTCTGTGTGTACTGCTTAGGGATTTGAGTCAGTAAATCTTAAATGGGCTCTTTTATGCCATGTGGAGATAAGAGAAGTTGTGCCCCAGGTTGTGTGTGGTTATTTATAGGTTGTCCATCATTTGCCATAGTTACAAAGTGATGGACTTGACTGAAGTCTAAAAGTGACTGAACTTTTCTACTGGAACTCCTGCGGTTTCTTCCTTTTTACTACCATTTTCGTGTCACATGTAACTCAGCAGATATTTTCACAAGTTAACAAGACTGCAGTAACATAGCATTAGTGGATTTAGCATTGCAGCATTTATGGAGACACATGAACGCACACACGCATACACAGCGCCTTCCGACTGGCCACAGCTTGTCTGTTTGTTTGAGTTAGTAATCATTAATTTACCCAGGAAGCTCCATTAAGATTATAATCTTGCTGAGAGGAGAGCAAGGCAGACAGGAAAACTCACACTGACCACAGTGTGTGTTAGTTTGTGTGTGTGTGTACGTGTGGAGGGGGGTTATCCTCCTGAGAACAGCTTGTACATGTGTCCGTCTGCAGTTTGTCTTTGTTTCATGGTGCATCAAATGTTCAAAGAGGCTTTTCAGCAGAGAATGACTTCACAGCGCAGCAGTTGCTTCGGTCTCTCATCCGTCTGACCCTACAGTGAGCAGACTACACACCACTGCCCATCCTCAGCACACACCCGATGCCATGTAATGCTCCTTTTGTGCAAAGCTGTTTTACATTTTCCAGTTTCAATCTTATCCCAGCCATAGTTTCAGTTTTGCATAATTTACTGTGCTTTTCTGCGTTCCTTCTTGTCCTTAATTTATTTTAAATGCAGGACTCATTCTTTCTTTCTGCTCTTTCTTTCTTTTCCATCTGTCTTTCCTCTCTTTTATCGCTCCTTAGGCGGAGTTAATCTCTCTTTTCCGCGTCACTAGCCCTGATCGCCTCCTAATCACACAGACAAATGCATATGCAAGCACACACTTGCACAGGCGCACACACACACACACACACACACTTGGCTGGAGAGTGGTGAGTTGAGGGAATAATTAAGTGATAATTAAGGTCTTTTTAATGATTTGATTCAGTGGCTCTGTGCATTAAGAGTATGTGTAAGTGAGGCACTCACCTCTCTAGCCTATTACCATGACCTTGACTTTAGTGAACACACCACGAAAGAAAGGCAGAGCAGCTGTACCATAAGTAAAGTAAAGGTTAGAGGAAACTTAAAGGTTAAAACACACACACAAACACGCATGCAAAGCCACAAATCAGTAACCGTACAAACACACACAATTGCTTTGTAGCTGTAAAACTTACTTACACACTCTTACACAATGCTCTATTGCCATGGGGATATGAAATTTAATGCTCCAGTGAGTGATATGTTGGCTGATTGTTGTGTGTGTGTGTGTGTGTGTGTGTGTGTGTGTGTGTGTGTGTGTGTGTGTGTAAAAGTGCCTGATTTGCAGATATACACTAAGTGCGTAGTCCATACTGTGGTTAATTAAGTGGGAGAGCAATGTTAAACTCAGTGGTTTTATTAGCGGTGCAGTGAGTGAGTGTGCATTATCAACCCCCTTTCCCCCCCGTCTTCTTTTTCCTCGTTATAGAAAAAAAAAGCTGGTGAAGAGGTTCTTAGCCATCTGAATGTCTGTTTCCAGAAAGCCAGCACATTTCACATTTCCATTATGATACATGTTGTCAGATCTTCCCACTGCAATTTATACTAGCCTAAAGCTACCGCTCCTTATTAAATCTACTGTCTGCTCTGGCCTTGCCTGAGTGTGTATGTACGTGTTTTCTAGACATCCCCTACTATGCAATTACTCCTCTATCCCCACACTGTTAGAAGTCATCTTCACAGCCTTCACATGACGACGTGTGTTTTGCTTGTGCAGGTAGGAGGTCACGGCTTGGTGCGGTTAAGTATTTGACAAATCTGTTGCAGATGAAGAGTGTTTATTGGTTTGTGTCGACATGGCAACCTCTCTATCACCTGCCGGGCATCGGCGCACACTCCTGAATCACTATGAATCATTGGATGACGCTAAACAGTGCATGTGTGTATGTGTGTGTGTGTGTGAGTGTAGGTGTGCACATGTGTGCCTGCAGGCGGGAGCATGCACATTCTCACAACAATACTAAAGAGCAGGCAGTCCAAATGACAATGCGTGTTTAAGTGGAAATGTGGACATGTGTTTATCTTCAAAGATCTTTGAGCATTGAATAAGATACAATCACACCCAGTGTGTGTCAGCGCCTACTAAAACAGACACATCTAAACATGCCAGTCTGGGACTGGGTCCAAAGAGCACGTGTGTGTGAGTGAGAATGGGTGTGGTTTACCTGCTGTAGCATAAGAGCCTGCTGTTGCTGCAGCAGGGCCTGGAGCTGAGGGGGAGACAGGATCTGTTGCATCTGCTGAGGAGTGATCATCTGTGGACTCATCATAGCCATGGATACAGGGACCTAAAGACAGCACAGAGGCACACACACATTTAAAGCTCTTTACACGCCTACATATTACCATGCAAAAGTAGGACAGCTCAGTCAGTGGGTTACACTTTGTGTGAAAAGGCCCAGCCAGCGAGCTGTAAGCAAGACTGTACCTGCAACTGAATGCTCAACTCAAAACAAACAATCCGAATAGAGGTAACACAGTATGCTGGTATAGACAGGTAAGCTAAAGCGGTTTGCTGTCTCTTATTCTCTGGTGTCAGTCACTGCTGTGAAAAGCTGGCAACATCAGGCAAAGATAAATAGACAGACGCAACTAAAACATACACATATTGTTGACACTTGCCTACACAAAGCTGGCACTGTTAAAAACAGACATTTTCTGTGGCAACAGGCAGAGATAAAAGGACAGATATGTAATCTGGCTATAAAATATAAAATCTTATCTGCTTTTATAAACACATGATTACGACTGCCTCCAATTCTCTTTCTACACAGTCAAGCCTGGCTAAGAAGAAAGGAACAACAAAGTGGGTATCTGATGAGATGAATATCTCATGAGTTAGAGCTGCAGGCAGCTAAAGAAAGAGAAAGTGAGAGAGAGGACTGAGAGACCAACATGGTGATTTTTGCAGATTTGTTGTGCAAGCACTCTTAATGCACATGCGTTGTACACAGAGATGTGCAGAGATGGCAATCTGATAACAAACATTGCAAAACTGAAGGCAAACTTTGCACATAAATTTGAAACTGAGGCATGCATGCACATGCATAAATGCAGATGTAATATAAGAAAAAAACACACTAGCAATCCTGCTGACAAAGCGCTTTTGTATTTGTTAACTGTTGGAACAACAACTGTTAATAAACACAGTTAATAATGGGGATCAAGAGACAGAGCAGTTGAGACAGAGAGATATTTGTGTGGGGGGCGTGGAGATTGAGAGCTGATATTTTTTCTCTGTTTATAGGCTGAGAGTTGTCTACCTTTTCTTTCACCACCTCCACATCAATAAACTATACTGCTTTCCCGATACAAACAGCCATCATGTCTTTACATGTCTGTTAATACAACAGTGAGTTATCACCGCTGAAATGTATTTTCATATCTACAAATTTTCCTCACTTGAAATATGGAAAATGACTGTTTCTTATTGCTAAATCGTGTGCACTTGTGCATCTATGTGTGGTTGTATGTGTGTGTACACAATTGCCAGTGTGTATATAGCTCACTTAAGAGCAGTCTATCTACTCACCACCTGAGGGGATGGCAGGTAGGGAGGGGAGAGTGGGTGAACTGTCACTGCTAAATTAAATCTGTAAAGAGCTGATTTGACTTTGTAAACAAGATTGGCCGTAAATACTCACACCTTCTTTTCCACCTGTCCTCTGCCCCCCCCTCCTTCCATCGCTCTCTGTCTCTTTTTCTCTGTGTGTGTCAGTCAAAGCCCTCCAGCCTCAATCTATGCCTTTGTCAAACCGTGTGTCTCTAATTGAGCCCACTTTTAAGTGCACACATAGGTGAAAGGATGGAGAAGAGGTAGTAGAGGGTAGGGCAGAGGTGGGTTGGAGCGAGATAAGCAAAAGAAGACCGACTGTGTTGGGATGAGTAGTTTAACGTGCGACAGTGGAGGGGTGAGTGTTTGGGCTGAGACAGAGGGAAGAGGAGAAGTAGAAAAGACAGAGTCAGAGCGGGGTGAGCACGGGGAAGGGTGGTGTTGTGGCAGTTGGTAAAGGAATAGGCAAAGGGGATGGGGGAGGTGGAATAGTGAGTAAGATGGGGGTGGTGATGGGTGCCGCTTGGCGTCATGCCAGCTTGCCCCCGCCGCTGGGCCTTGTCAGTCTAAGCTGCCAAATGAAAAGCTGTAATTAATTGCTCTTGTGCATCCCATTCTTCCTCCCTGACAACTCATACATTCTATTTTATACACACCGCCATCGACATTTTCAAGTCACAGGCGTAATAATTACTGGAGTTATAGCACCTTTCTGTGTGTTGGCTGACGTGCTGATGCCAGAACCAAATGTGCGGTGCCAGTGTGCAAGTGTATATTGTGCTGTATGTGTGTGTGTGCATGTGGGTGAAGGTGTGTGTGCATGTGGTTTAGGCTGAATGTGTGTGTGTGTGTGTGTGTGCGTGTGTCTGTGTGTGTGGCAGGCTGAATGCTGAGTAGTTAAGGTTTGACGCCATTAATTGCCCCTATAATCTAATATCACAAAGCGTGGTGATTATGGGGCATGCGTTGCCACCGCCATACGACACCGCCAGCCTGAGAGCGCTGCTGCAAAACAAAAGCCTCGCCATTAGCGATTTGACGGGCCAGGACAAAAGCGCCTCACAATGCAGAATTATATTTTCATTCGGCTTTGTCTCTCCTGGTGAATGATTTCTCCCCTTTCATTGGACTGTGAATAGGGAGAGTCTGAAAAGCCGGGCGATTTGAAGTCAGCCATTTATTAAATGCATTTAATTTTTTTTCCGCTGTCGTCCATTTTTTTCATGTTGCATGTTAATTTAAAAGAGAGAGATGCGTGTTAGATTAGTGGGAGAGGTGAAGTTGGGGGGGAGTGAGTGGTGGGGTGAGCAGAGAAAGGGGAGACGGAAGGATACCATCCATACAGGAGAAGAAAGGGAGAAGACGATAGTGAGGTAGGAAAATAATGAAAAATAGAGGGAAGAGTCATGCAGAAAGAGAACAGAACCCCACCAAGCAGGTTTTAGGAAAGAGCAAGTCTGGCCTAGAGGTTGAACTAATGGTTGTGTAGACTCACCTGCATGCACATGCGAATGCAAAAATGCAGGTGAAAAGTCGCGCAATCCTGTGCAGAAGATGTTTGATAAGAGTCCAACCACTAATAACGACAAGATTTCAAAAACCGAACATGTCGCTCCAATCATGGACATGCAAGAATCACTCATTAGTAGACACACATGCGTGCGCACAGCGGCAGACACACTGCTGAGGGGTCAGTGGCTGACAGAGGTCAACCCCTGCCATGGAAAGAGGGAGCTGGGGGAGGGAGGGATGGGGGGCAAGAGAGAAGAAGCAGGAGACAGCCCTGTCGTTTACAGAGAGTGGAGGAGTAATTAGAGGGGTTGTTTGAAGAGGGAGTTTAACTGATTAACAAAGGAAGAGAGGGAGCGAGGGAGCGCCCGAAAGATGGGAAGGAGAAGGAGGAGAGAGGCATGAAGTCCCAGAGGAGTGAAGAGAGAGAAATGGGGGAATGTAACTTGCATTTCAATGAGGCTCCATCCCTCTCTCCTCTCCTCCCTTGATGACTTTTCATTCTAACAAGGAGGAAAGCCTTTCCCCACTTTCCATTTCAGATGAAGAAGAGAAGAAGGGTGGCTATCTGATATTAAACCAGCATGCAGCCGGAGGGGGAATAGCCCCGGTGCAGCTCAGCATCGTGTTTATATAGAGGCAGGCTGCTTAAATGACTGCATCATCTCTAATTTAGAAGTGAACTTTGGATTTCACACTTTCACCTTTCTTCTAATTGAGGTCTTTGACTATATAAAATACAGCACCCTTAACCATCACGTATATTTTAATGCAAACTCGTGCACCAAAATGATCACAAACACTTCTTAGCGGTATGACACTGATTTTGAAATGCTGGGGAAACCCACAAAGCAGGACAGTCAATAAAAGAGTAACACCCTGTGTATCTTCAACACTCTCTTGAGCTTCACAAGCAGGTAAATTTACTTCTACAGTTATTCATCTCATGCCAGCTCAAAAATGTGCAGCCGGTATACGTAAGTGTTTGTGTGATTGCAGTGAGTGGTGAGAAGAAAGGAGGCTATAATCAGAATCTAAACAGGCTCTCAGTTTAAATGATGCAGGCCTTGCCTTTGGGTCTATGGGGACACACAGGAGAGAGGGATAATTGAAAAAATGACAAGGAGAGAGCAGGAGGAAGAGAGAGGGGCTGACACAGACCTCCTCCTCCTCCTCCTCCTCCTCGTCCCCCTCACCCCCTCTCTTGGTAGGAGCAAACCCCAGCGCTGTTTATCCTTGTCACTGAGCATTACCACCTCACCCTGGAAGGGGCGGCTGCCTCTCTGTCTGCCTCCCTGTCACACACACAAACACACACACACACACACACACACACCTAGAGCTGCCTGAACACTGGCCGCAGCCTTCAAATCTTTTTGTTTCCTCCATTGTAATAATATCGCCATGATGGTTTTTTTTCTTTATTTAACGGTGTGCTGCTTTTTTTCCGGCCCCTTCTGATTGAACAGTGGCAAAAGTTTGACACGTTAATTCACCTGGCAGAAAAAGAAACACGAGCGTCAGAAGCTTCTTGTTGTGCAAAGGATTTAATGGCATGAGGCGGAACACTCCCCTCCACCTTCTTCTTCTTGTTGGTTCAGGATTTGTTTATTCGCCAGCTATCATCGCTATCGCTCTTTCCATCTTTCAGTCCCTCCAGGTAAACAACCTGTCTGTGCTCATCACGCCAAGAAATGAGAGCAGAGCTTGAGGAGGTGGAGAGGGGAGGGAAAGAGAGAAAAGCATTTGAGCGAAAAAGAGAAATAAGGAGTGCCTACTGTGCTGAGAGTGTTGTTTGGGACTCAGGGCCAGGCCTTCACTGGAAGTAAAAAGGGCCCCATTGTATGTGGTGAGTACCCCTCCTCCAGCTAATCTGCAGCCGGGCCAGGGGCCACATTACTCTGGGGGAAACTGATGAGCGAAGCCAGGTGGGGCCGGGGATGATACGGGCATCTTACAGTTTCAAACTTCAAACCTTTTTTGCTGAGTAATCTTTCTGTATGTGTTGAAGAACAATGTGTGTGTGTGTGTGTGTGTGTGTGTGTGTGTGTGTGTGTGTAAGCTGCTGCGACAAAACCTGCCAGAGAAGGTTTGTGTTTTATTTGTGTGTATTTTTAACAGTCGGTAAATGGCGTACTTCTTCACATAACATTTACATAGTTGATAAAATAAAAAATATTTTTGGTGATTTTTATTTTTTGTGTGTGTGTGATCTAATGGATGAAG